ATACCTACTAAATGCTATAAAGTTTTTAATAAATTAACTTTTTTTGTATTTAATTTTTACATTTTAATAATTTACATTATATATACTTAACATATATGTATAATTATATACATTAATATAATAATATATACTTTATGTATTTAAAAGTTCAAAGTCCGCGATCTGAAATCTAAAGTTTTACCTGGCCGTACAAAAGGAATGTTTACTGCAGTTAACATGTTAATTTTACAATGATTCGAGTTTTTTATTTATTTGTTTTTTGTACCATGTTCATCATTTTGAACAAAAAATATTATTCTATCTTTATTATTCAACTTTAAGATGGTATCTATCAAGAAATTTGATCTAATTTGTAATTATATGGTGGGAAGTGGAATTAGAAAATTGTCAGTGATTCATACAATATTGGGATAATATTCCATGTGCTGGATATCTTCACGGAAAACAATAAAATAACTGTAAATAATTAAAATGTTCAACATTTATTTTGTTAAAAAAGGGATGGTTTCACCCGCCACCACCTGCACACGGGCTCGTACTAAACAATTTTATTGATAACAGGAAAAAAATTCAATTAAAAATTACTAATAATAGAATTATAGAAATATAAAAAAATTATAAAATACACTTGGAAATAGCTGACTTTACTCARAATCGTTTTCCATTATGTATGAAATGATTCATCATGAAATTCAAGTATCATTACACATCATTATACATTGGCTCAGATGAGCTACTAAAAGCCTCACGATCAGTCTTGAGTGACAATCCATTTTTGTAACCTAACCTAACCTAACTGATGAAATTCAAACATGTTTGAATTTTGGCTGCCATTCACGTTGATTGTCATTCAAGACAACGCTCGAAATCAGCATAGGTTGTACCTACAGCAGAATGTATTTCCCATTTTTTTTCTTAACTATTTTATAATAAATAATTATCAATATTTAAGTTATTTTAAATTTAAATTGTTTCATGTTTGAAATTCTCCTTTTTAAAATTATCAAACATATTTATTTTATTTTAAAATATTCTATGAAAAATAACGTGTAGAGTAGGAATATATAAAGATTTAATATCCATGGTTTTACGCAATCGAATAAACATTAAAATCTAACAAATTAATTTTAAATTATTGTGTTTTAGAATTTTTTTGAAATGATTCATATTTGTTAACATCACTGACAATTGGCAAAATAATAAAATAAGATAGTGACTAAAGTTTAACAGCTGTTATCCTCGATTTATTTTTAAATTTATATATACATAATATGTATACACGATATAAATAACTTTTCAATGCTTCAACTCAGGTTTCAAACATTACGACAAATTCAGTGGAGCCAATTTCGCATCCGTTCTATTTATTTTTGAAATGTATGTTTCAACAATATGTCATACTTAGGATATTTGCCAAATACTGTAACAATAATCAAGAAGAAAACACTTTCAAAAATGATTATATATAACCTTAAAAATTGTATATTCTTTAATAACGAGTAGATGTAACTGTTTAATTTAAATTTTATTCAAAACGAATATTTTATTATATATTAACTAGGTGTTGAAATTTTATTTAAAAAGTCATATAGCCAATACCTACAAAGTACAAATTAATATACATAGTTAATGTATCCTAAATTTGAATGAGATGTTCATAGATAAAATCGTATACATATATTTATTTACCATTTACTATTTTTATATATAAGTAGTTTAGATTTTTAAAATATGAACGTAAAAACCTCCAAGTTCATGTAATTATAATTACTTTTATAATTATTTGTTATTATTGCTAATAGTACTATAGTTTATGAAACGTTGGCATAATTTCAGCTAGACTTTATTATCATAAACGAAGCATAAAAAAAATATAAATATACAATATATAAGGTAGGTACTTAAATCATCTGACTAATTGGTACTCAATCCATTATTTGACAATTTGTATGATGTATTGATAATCAAGGTAAAACGATATTTTCTTATTTTTCTTTATATTATTTTGAAGGACAAATAAAGATGATTAATAAATTATAATCAACAAATTATAGCCATAACCCAAATAGTCATGAATAAACTAACAAACATATTTTAAAAATTATTACTACGAAATTAGTGAATGTCATGTTTCAATTTCGAGGATTATTACATTTAACTTTTTCTATTATTTATAACTGAAATAAAATTCTACATATTGCTACGCTACCTTTTCATTGTATTTATCCTCTTAAATAATTATATTTGGTTAAAATTGKCGTTTAAAAGTAGTATTAAACTATATACGTATAAGCTAAATACTTAAATGTGTATTTTAGAAGTTTTAAAATAACAAGTACTTTAATTTATTGAATATAAATAGTAATGTTAATAATCTATAATATATAGATGCAACAATAAATTAATATCTATTCAAACGCATTTTGTTGCATTATTAATTTGTGGAACTAGGCCATTGTCAACTGTATAGATACGATGAAAAAAATGTTGATATATTATGTCATATCATGAAGTAAATACTTTCAGACTTCAAGACTTGAAGTTTTAGTCAAAATAAAACTAAAGATCTATGTAAAAATTATTAGTACAARTATGCAATTAATTCAAAAAAAAATTGATGAGGCTCGCTTTATTGTCTTTAGAATGAATGTACTCGTACTTAGTCATTGGATAGTTTACTTCAATGTTGRATTTGAATTTTACAATGCATCATTGCTTATGAAAAACTATACTAAGTTGAGACTATTGCCACTGCCTAAATATTTCTAATAAAGATATTTCAACTTATTATATAGTAAATCTCAATWATAAACTTTGTAGGAAGTACTAAAATACGGTTTAAAATAGGTACTTATAGATGTTATACTAACACCTATAATCATTWTTAATAACAGTTAAAGTTCTAAGGTCAATGATAATAATATTTCAACTAAAATAACCGTAAAAAAATATTTTTTTCTTTAGTCGGGAATCTTTTAAATAAAATGAAATAAAACTAATGTTTAAGTTTTCAAAACTTTATATTTCATTAATTGCTTAAATAAATGTAATCTACTTAATTAAGGAACTTATTTTTTAACAACAACATACTGGTTTTTAAGTTTTTTTTGTCTATACATATATTTTGTTATATATAAATTAATCTTTTCACATGTTTTTTATATATTAGAAAAAATTTAATGTAAGTTTTTAGTTTGTAAACTGTTTTATTACATCATAAATATTTTAAAAAAAATAATTGAATTACATTTCTTTTTTAGTTTTATATCAACGCGTCAATTATTTTAAAAAATAAACACGGAAATTAAATTAAATGAAGAAGTCAACCTCATCGGTAATGAAGGAAGACAGTGAGGAAATAACTAAAGAGGAGATGATTTGAAAAAAAAATTTAATTATAGTAGAAGGCTGAATTTCGATGACGGGCGAAGTTGTGTACCCTAACTCCTAAACCTCTGGACCTAAGGTATTCTTGAACTGTTTAATAGTATACGATGAAGCTTCCTCTAAATTCACAGTTTTCAACTAGTGGGTCTCGAATCTTGGCTCAATTTTGGATTATAGAATTGGGTCGCAATATACTTTAAATTATAAAAAACCTATGAAGTAAATAATATTGCATTCAACTGTACGAMATAAATAAAATTAACATAATAATACTAAATTAATCAAAAATTTGCCTGTTTTTACATATTAATACCAGTATTTATCAATAAGCTTTTTTTTAAAAACATATAAGTCAAGAAAAATAAATAAAAACTAAAATAGGTTTCAAGCCCAATAAGGTTGAAGATCACTGCTCTAAATGGAACGTATGCATGTAGGATAGTCAATAAGAATGGGAAGTGAAAAAATATATAGTTTAATGAATTATAATTAGTGGAAATAGGAAATAACTTTTATATTCAWATTGCAGGTATGTAAATTATGTAGGTACCTATTACCTAATGTAGATACTGGGCGGCGAGTAGGTGCGAGATGGAGCAGCGCATCGATCTGCGTCTACCGCCCGAGGATGTCTCWGATATCATTCCGGGGCCGGAGCAGGAGCTCCTACCAGATGATATTTCAAGGAGACGACGGATTGAGGCGTCGGTGGAAAAACAGAGGCCAGCGTTTGGCAGGTTAGTAGAGACGATATACTCGGGCAAAATTAGGCTGCAGAGTGCACCATGCAGGTGAAATGTGGACGGGTAGAGTAAAAGTGTTGTTATTCTGTGGGCCAAAGGCCAGCTTTTCTGGGTGGTTAGAGACCCTCACTTTAGTATAACTTACTATGTTGCAGCATGGTGAAAAAAATGATACAGGAACGGGTGGCAGTATTGTGATAAACAGTTCCCACCCGTTTCCTGGTTTTTGAACTGAAAAAAAAAGGTACCTATGGCAAATACTTGGATATTTATAATATAGACCTATTGTATCCATTATAAAGAATATTTTTATACTTATTTATTATGTAATATCTATAAATATGAATGCTAAAAATATTTGATTAGATATTTATATTTTATTTTGATTAGATTCAAAAGTTGTACTTACCATACTTAATGGAAAAGCGATGCTGGCAAAGAAAAAGTATTTCACTTGAGATAGTGTTTCCAATACTGATGATTTAGAAGGAAAAATCAACGGGAATACGTCCACAACCAATGCATATAAGAAGAACAATGCTTGAAAACACTATAAAAATATAAATAAATTAAATTAAATTTATATTTAATACATAATATAGGTAATAATTATATTTATATTTATATTACATAAAATTCGTAACGAGTGATTAACATTATTATAATACATAATATAGATACTAGGTAAACACATCATAATTCATTACATACAACAAAATGTATTGGTATTAAAGCCTATATATACCTACATTAGCATAATATTTATAATTAGGGTTCAGATTTGAAGGCAAATGCCTTTCTTTTATTAATCATAATAGAAAAATAATTTTTATACAAAAATGTGTTTTATTTAATTTCTTAGACGATGGATGCATTTTTTTTTTTGCCTTTTGTAATTAAAAATGCCTTTTTTGTGTTTTATTTTCAGTTGATTTTATAATTTTATACACAGCTTACGTATTATCGCTACAAATGGGTTTTATTCTTTGCAATATTTATCGATATCATCTTATCGAGTAAAATTTTGGTATGACCATAAAATTACCAGTACATCTATTTAAAGATTAAGATATGTTCGTAAATCATAATGCGTAGATTCAAGATTATTCATCAGTCCATTCAATCCTCCCGCAATAATTTTTCCACGCGTTTTTTTATTCTGTTTATTTTAATTATGCCAAAAGTTAAACAAAATCACAATTCTAAGTTGAAAAGGTATGTTTCAGCTTGTCAAAATACATGGTAGTCAATTTTTTTTTTAATACCAACTTGTTTATTTTGCATAATAGTATATTTATGAATTGCCATTTTATATAAACTAAATTCTTTTTTTACATTTTAAATGCTTTTTTATTGATTATATCGCCTTCAAATCCGAACCCTAAATTGAATTTTCAGATTTAGAGATAATAGTAAGGAATGTATTGATTTAACTATGTTATTTTTAACACTTCAAATATATGACTGCTTAAATAATTTCACCTATAGAAATAGAACCTTCATAAAATGAAAATCTAATGGCTCTTCGAAGAGACATTTTCCGATTATATTTTTTATTCTTCTAGTTTTTTAAGATATATCGGTCTTTGAGATCATCCCGTCTGTCGCACATGAATCCTCCAATTTCCTCTATCAGTATTACTCGAGTTTTCGGACATTCTGATCCTCCATTTAGTAACTCTAAATATTTTTTAATTATATCGTCCAATCTCAAACGGGGTCTTCTAATTAGCTTTTCTACTACAGGATTCTCTTCTATAATAATCTGATTTAATTTAACTTATCTTATCTTCCAATGACAACTGTCAAGTGATTTTAAAGAAATGTCTGCTTGTGTAGTTTTTATTAGGCTTCACTCCTTGTTTTTTGTTTTAGAGAGAGCTGATAATTTGTTACAAATGGAGACTTAATTAAGATTCATCATAAGTTTGGTATGCTGATGCCATGGCCCATGGGTATATAACATTTAMGAGTCTTAAATTAAGACTTACAGCAACTCATGGTTACATATACGATGTACGTATACATTATGTTATATAACTAATGTGTCTTACCGTTGTAAATACTATACTGACACATGATGAATTGATAACATAGCATATTCACACTTGAAGTATAATATTATTTACTTTACTTGTACATACAACAATAATAGTTGTTTTCCTGATCAACACAAAGTATAGACTAGACTTGAACTTTATAATATTAAAAGTTTTGTCAAAATATTTTTTATGTTTAATATAGTAGCCAGTATAGGTAATAATAGTATTAATTAAAGTG